GTCCCCCCCCACACACCCCAAAAATGCTGTGCCCGGGCTCGCCCCGGCCCCCGCACTCGCAGCGGGGCCTTACGCAATGAGGAAGATGATGGCAGCTCAGGGAGGAAGAAGCAGGATTCACCACCCGCTCCCACGCCCCCGGGCCCCGCCAGAGGTAGTTTTGCAAGATGGGAAGAACTGGGAGGAACTGGGATTTGCACCGATTTGCCCGGTAACCGGGCACCGAACTCCCCGGGGACTGGGTACCAGTTCCCCCCAGTCACCAGGCACCCGAATCCCCCCAGTAACAGGGCCCCAATTCCCCCAGGAACTGGGTGGTAACTGGGCATCGATTCCCCCAGTAACCAGCCCCAATTCCCCCAGTAACTGGGCACTGAATCCCCCGGTGACCGGGCCCCAATTCCCCCAGTAACCAGGCACCAAATTCCCTGGTAACTGGGCACCAAAACCCCCAGTAACCAGGCAGCAACTGGGCATCGATTCACCCAGTAACCAGTCCCAATTCCCCCAGTAACCGGGCACTGAGTCCCCCAGTAACTGGGCAGTAACTGGGCATCGAATCCCCCAGTAACCAGCCCCAATTCCCCCAGTAACTGGGCACTGAATCCCACAGGGACCGGGCCCCAATTCCCCCATTAACCAGGCACCGAATTCCCCGGTAACTGGGCACTGAATCCCCCAGTAACCAGGCAGTAACTGGGCATCAAATCACCCAGTAACAGGGCCCCAATTCCCCCAGTAACCAGGCACTGAATCCCCCAGTAACCGGGCAGTAAATGGGCATCGATTCCCCCAGTAACCAGCCCCAATTCCCCCAGTAATGAGGCACTGAATTCCCCGGTAACTGGGTACCAAAACCCCCAGTAACCAGGCGGTAACTGGGCACTGATTCCTCCAGTAACCAGGCAGTAACTGGGCATCAAATCGCCCAGCAACAGGGCCCCAACTCCCCCAGTAATCAGCCCCAATTCCCCCAGTAACCGGGCAGTAACTGGGCACCAAATCCCCTGGTAACCGGGCACTGAATCCCCCAGTAACTGGGTGTTAACTGGGCCCTGAATCTCCCAGTAACCAGGTGGTAACTGGGCCCTGATTTCCCCAGTAACCAGGCACTGAATTCCCTGGTGACTGCACCAAATCGCCCAGTAACCGGGTGGTAACTGGGCACCAAATCCCCCAGTAACCGGGCACTTAATCCCATAGTAACCAGGCCCTGATTGCCCTAGTAACTGGGCACTGAATTCCCCAGTAACCGGGTGTTAACTGGGCACCAAATTCCCCAGTAACCGGGTGATAACTGGGCACCAAATTCCCCAGTAACTGGGTATTAACGGGGTACCAAATTCCCCAGTAACCAGGCTGTAGCAGGGCACCGAATCCCCCAGTAACCGGGCACTGATTCCCCAGTAAGCAGGCACCAATTCCCCCAGGAACTGGGAGGTAACTGGGTATTGATTCCTCCGGTAACCGGGCACCGAACCCCCCAGTAACCAGGTGTTAACTGGGCACCGAATCCCCCAGTAACCGGGCACCAATGCTCCCAGCAACTAGGTGGTAACTGGGTGCTGATTCCCCCAGTAACCGGGTAGTAACTGGGCACCGAATCCCCCAGTAACCAGGTGGTAAAGGGGCACCGAATTCACCAGTAACCAGGCACCAATGCTCCCAGCAACCAGGCAGTAACTAGGTACTGATTCCCCCAGTAACTGGGCTGTAACTGGGTACCAAATCCCCCAGTAACCAGGCACTGATTCTCCCAGCAACCGGGCAGTAACTGGGTACTGATTACCGCAGTAACTGGGCACTGAATCCGCCAGTAACCGGGCACTGAATTCCCCAGTAACCAGGCACCAATTCTCCCAGCAACCAGGTGGTAACCGGGCACCAAATCCCCCAGTAACCGGGCAGTAACTGGGCACCGAATTCCCCAGTAACTGGGCACCGACTCCCCCAGTAACCGGGCAGTAACTGGGCACGGGATCCCCCCGTGACTGGCTCTGCCCTGGGGGGTGGATGAGCCCCACGGCTGCCCCCAGCCCCACGGCCCCGCTCTGGCTCGGGCCCCACTGAGCTGTTCTGGGGGGGGGCACAGGACCCGAGAGACCCCCCCCCTGCCCCGGGGTGGGGGG